AGTGCTGGGAAATGAGATTAGAATAGTTAGGTGGTTGTTTTTGACTTGTTCAGACTTGATGAGCCAAAGGGTTTTTCTGTGCTGCAGATCTCTACAACTGTTTTATGGAGAGATTAGACAGACTGGATCTATATCCTCTGGAATTTTGAAGAATGGGAAGTGATGACTTAAAATTCTTACAGGGTATGATACAGCGGATTGTGGGCTATTTCCCTAGACTGACAACTCTAGAACTACAGGGCACCATCTCAGGATAATGGACAAGTCAGTTTTAGAACCGAGATGAGGAGGAATTTCTTCACTCAAAATGGTGAATCTTTGGAATTATGTAGCCCAGAGGGTTGTGGAAGCTCAGTCACTGAGTGCATTCAAGATGGAAGTCAATTGGTTTCTGGAGACTAATGACATTTAAGTGATAGAGAAATAGTGCAAGAGAGTGGCATTGAGATGATCAGTCATAGTGAGGCAGATTGAATGGGCTGATTGGTCTAATCTTGTTCCTACTGTATCACTTCACTGACTTCAAAGTTTTGGCAAAGATCTGTAGCTCAGGTTGTGGGTGAGGTTGTTGACTTGATCGCTGAGCTGGCTTGTTCCCCTTCAGACGTTTCATCGCCATGCTAGGTGACATCATCAGTGCAGCCTCTGATGAAGCGATGTTATTCTACTCTGCTTGGAATTTATACAGCATACTGTATTTATATTGTATTAATGCAACAAAACAGCATGACAAATTCTCCTTCATATCAGTACACTCAGATAATGAAGGCCATCAGTTTAACTGGCCAAACATAGACACACATAGGAATTCCTAGAGGCAATCAACAAACACATAGAATTGGACCCCATATACAAACCCAAACAGATCAAAACTGGGAATGACAGTACTCACCATAATGGACCGAACAGTATAAATTCCAAGGGGAATAGAATAACATCGCTTCATCGGAGGCTCTACTGATGATGTCATCTAGCATGGTGACGAAACGTCTGATTGAGAACAAGCCAGCTCGCCGAGCAAGTCAATAACCTCACTTTACTTATTTTTTTAAGTTTACTTTAGATACCTTTGCTTTCATGCCCTCACTATTGCTGTTGTTTAAACTACTAATCTTAGATCCACTCTCTCTCAAACTGGATGTAAAATGCAACCATATTATGGTCACTGCTACCTAAGGCACCCTTCTCTATTAGGTAATTAATGAATTAAACCTTGTTGCACAAAACCAACTCCAGCCTGCTTGCTGGTTGGTTCCAGAATGTGCTGCTCTTAGAAACTATCCCGGAAACAGTCCATCGTTGTGGTTACCTTTGTCTATTTGAAGTTTCCAATCTATATAGAAATTAAAATTCCCCATAATTTTCAATATATCTTCCTCACAAGTTCCTGTTCTTACTACTTTTATACACCACCAAATCATGTTGTTACTTTTTGGGAGTTTGTGCACCACAAGGTCATCCTTCACTATTGCATATTAATTTCTATAGTGCGAATAGAAATGAAAAATATTATCTGATAACCTTCATAGAAATATGGCTATATGATGACACAGATTGGGACCTAAGTATTGAAGCGTACATGACACTGAATAAGGACAAGTGGCTAGACAAAGGTTGGGGGATGGCTCTGTTAGTGAATGATGGTATTAGCACAATAGAAAGAGTTACTACTGGAAAGGTATTCATAGATAGGGCCTTTTGGTTTATCCTGTCACTTTTTGTAACCTCTAGCCTTACCTGTTGATTTAATCTTATATTTGTACACACTATCTCTTCCCATTTATCATTTCCAATAACAATACTTCTTGCCTCATCTCTACTTTTTGATTTAACCGGGTCTTCCCAAATTTGATCCTTTCCCTCTATTCAGTTTAAAACCCTCCACACTTCCCTAGTTATACAGTTCCCTGGAAAGCTGGTCCCATAGCTGTTCACATGTAGACTGCCTTCATGGTACAGTGCCCACTTTCCTCCGTATTGGAGAGGAAACACTCACTATTAAACTATGTCCCCTAGCTTTAATCTCCACCACAAGAGAAAACATCCCCTGATTATCCACACAATCCAGTCCCCTCAACGTCTTATATGTTTCATTAAGTTCACTGCTCATTCTTCTAAACTCCAACAAGTTGTATTGTTGTGACATAACAAGGGTAATGGCAAGACAAAGAGAGGGAGAGATGCAGAAGTCATTAAACTACTTACATCTTCTGGAAGCTGATATGCAGTATCACCGAAAGGTATAATATCTTAGGGCCAGAGTTTCTTGTTTGGAGCCCAGTTGAGAAATTGCACTGTTTGCCCTTCACTTAAAGAATCCACTCATGTTCATTGACAAAAATCACATGTGTAACTTTCCAAAACAGCAGATTGGACCCTGTATTAGAGTATAATTTATTCCATTTCTCTATAGGGCTGGATTTATTTGTACAATAACCTGGGAATTTTATTAATATGACAGAAATGAGTTAAAACCAAAATTAAACATCATTAATAAAGATTTAAAATTGTTGGTAATTTATAGGTGATTCCCAATTTATGAACATCTGACTTATGAATGCTTATGCCTACAACTGATACAGGCAGGAATCAATATTAATTTTAAAGATCTGATGTGTGAACATGTCCTCATATTACTGAATGGCTGTTTTATATTATACTGTATTGTATTCTGACTGGTGTACAAGTCAACTTATGAATGTATTCAAGAATGGAACCCATTCGTAACCCAGAGAATACCTGAATGTATGAACAAAAATTTATATGGAACCATTTAAGTTTTATTGGTGTATTCTAGTCAGTTTTTTTTTTTAAAACCATGCCAGCTACTGCTCATGTGCCTCATATATCCAGACTTCTGAACAGGACCTGATTCAGACAAACTGTATTGTAAAACTGATGTGATACAACATACAACTTGTGTTGCAAATTCACCTTTCTTGCTCCCATCTAGTTGATTATATCCAATTTAATCTGGACATCATGAATGGTAACCTGACTATCTCAACTGCTAAGGGTCTCAGTGGATAACTCCGGGAGGAGGACCAGACAGACAAGGGGAAGGTACCACACATTTAGGACTTTGTAAATAAATCACAACAAACACCAAACAGGCAGTAAGTATATTAAGATTTAAAAAAAACAATTTAACACTAATAAATCACAACATCTTAAATCACATCAATGATTGTTAACTTACGCACAGCGTTAAGACCAACACAAAATACATCTAAGTTGAATTATTACAGAAGGGAAAATCCCGTTTTATCCATGAATCCATTTCAGCAGCAATTAGGATGTTTAACAAAATAAAAAGTGAAAATAAAACCCAAACATTTGACAACCAGCAAATGTTAACACAATCATTTAAAAAAAGCTAAAATAAAACATTGAAACAAAGGAAAAATATTCATCCCAACATTGCACTTAAGTTGAAGAGGTTTCAGTTCTTGTCCCTGAAGCGGAATTTGCTGCTTACAGGTCAGTCCTAATGCACCAGGGAAGTACAGTCTATCATCATCATCCGAACTCGGATACACGGTGCCTTGTCTCTGGGTTCTTGGTAGAGGCGGTCGCACCGACAGTGGAGGGGGGCGCGGTTGGTCCTTCCCATCTCTATGAGGTGGGTTAACTGCATTCTCACCAGCTCAATGGAGTTTTGAGAGCTGGGCAGAGTGGTACTGTCACAGGAGGCCCCAGGCTGATGCTGAGGAAACAGGAGTTCAAATCCCATCAGGGCAGCTGATGGAACTTTAATTCAATTCATGAATCTGGAATGGAAGGCGAATTGAACAGTGACCACAACAATGATTGCTGGTTTTTATAGCAAGCTGCCTGGCCTACATGTGACTCCAGACCCACAACAATGTGCATGACTCTTAACTGCCTTCTGAAATGGCTGAGAAAGCCAGTTAGTTCTTAAGGTGAAACAAAGAATTATGGATGCTGGAAATCTGAAGCCAAAACAGAAACTTCTGGAGAAACTCAGCAGGTCTGAGAACATCTGTGGAGAGATAAACAGAGTGAACTGGGCTTCAATACAATGACCAACATCCAAATAGCTGAAGGCCATCACTTGCATAAAGGTAACTGCTGGGTACCCTGTCCCAGTAAACTTCTCTATCCCAGTGAGAGTCCACATCCGACAACAGCAAGAGGCAGGATATCAGTCAAAAAGCATTCTGACGGAGTATGCTCTTCTGGTCCATTTATGTTTGTCATTTATATAAATGATTTAGGTGAGAACACAGGAGGCACGGTTAGTAGGTTTGCAGATAACACCAAAATTGGTGGTATAGAGAACAGTGAAGAAGGTTATCTATGATTACAAAGAGTTCTTGATCAATTGGGTCAAAGGGCTGAGGAGTGGCAGATGGATTTTAATTTGGATAATACGTAATTCTTTAAAGTTTGTGTCACGTGTTGATAGGGTGGCTAAGAAGGTGTTTAGCACGCTCGCCTTCACTGTTCAGACCTTTGATTATAGGATTTGGGATATCATGCTGAGAATGTTCAGGACATTGGTGAGGCCTCATCTGGAATACTGTGTGCTGTTTTGGTTGTCCCGTTATAGGAAGGATGTTATTAAACTAGAGAGGGCTCAGAAAAGATGTACCAAGATGTTTCTGGGAATGGAGGGTTAGAGAGATATAAAAATAGAATGGAAAGGCTGGAATGTTTTTCATTTGAGTGTAGGAGTTTGACCTTATTGAGATTTATAAAATCATGAGAGGCATAGATGAGGTGAATAGCAAGGGTCTTTTTGCCTAGGGTGGGGGAGTTCAAAACTAGGAGGCATATTTTTAAAGTGAGAGGAAAATGATTTTAAAAGGACATGAGGGGCAACTTTTTCTTAACGTAGAGAGTGGTTTGTGTGTGGAATGAACTGCCATAGAAAATGGTAGATGCAGGTACAGTTACAATGTTTAAAAGACATTTGGATAAATTCATGAATAGGAAAGATTGAGGGATATGGGCCAAGCACAGGCAGGTAGCACGAGTTTAGTTTGGGATTATGATCGGCATAGACTGGTTAGACTAAAGGGTTTGTTTCTGTGCTGTATGACTCTGTGACTATATATTGTATATTCAAACAAATCTGCTCAACCCCCATGCACTGCATTTGCAGACCTATCCTGGCACGCAGACAAGCAATGTTTTGATTTCAAACTCTTGTCCTTGCTTTCACATCCCTCGCTTCTCCCTATCACCTTAATTTCGTGCTACGCATGACCCTATGCTCCTCCAATTCTGGCCTCTTGCGCATTTCCAATTTGTCTCTAGCGACACGGGAATAAACTCTGGAATTTCTTCATTAAACTCATCTGTCTCTCTTCCTTTCCGCCAAGTCATTCCTTAAATCAAGCAATCCTTCCTTTGAGCAAGTTCTTGTCTACTGTCCTGTTATTTCCTAATGTGACTCTGTCTCACATTTGTTTGTTATGCACCTGTGAAGAGCCTTGGGACATGTTACACATTAAAGGTGCTATGCAAATGCAAGTTGTTGTTGCAAATCAATCAGTAAGGAGAGTTTCATAAACCATAAAACAATATAATTTATTACCTTGTGTTTAGGACTTGGCCCTCTCTTTGATTTAATTCAATGGGGAGCATGCCTCCTTACTGAAGTCTAGTTTAGTTAGTAAGATTTTATTCTTCTATCCTCCCCAGTTTGTGTGGCGGGTGGTGCTGTTCTTAATCAACTTCTCAAAAGTAGAAACATTTGCTTCTCCCACCCCTATCTACCTCTCTCCCCAAGAGCACAATGCTCATAAAAACACATGGTCAGAAGTTAAGGCCTGATTTTCATGCTACAAATTGAACCATGTATAAAGCAGAAAATCCCCATCTGCTTCCTCTTCCAATCCTGCAACACTAACAAATAAATCACTTCCCCCTACTGATTTTTGTATTTTAAGGAAATATAAATGGAAAATAATGGTGTCACACGCCTCTGCTGTCTGAAGAGAGACACAGTTAACACCTCATACGGCTGAAGACAGGGACATGGTGCTGAAGTTCTTTTTTGCCTTGCACTCTTCAGGACAAATGGAAGAATGTCAAATTTCTAACAAGCATAATTGTTTATGCTACAGAAGAAATGCGATACTGATTGGTTGGAAAGGCTGACTCTGATGAGCTGAGGTGTTGCCATGGAAGAAGTAATGGGGAACTACTGGCTCTCAAGCTCTTGGGCAATTAGAAAAGGGCCCATTTATGCTTGTCGGAAGCGGCCAGCATTCACACAAAGGGTCTCTGCATTCTTCACAAACAAAAGCAATCTGTTCAAGTCTTGAGCCTTTTTTTGTAAGGCCTATATTTCCCCATGTTTACTTCTCCATGACGGTGCCTCAGCCAGAATTGACTTTCAAGAAATCCGCACCTTTTATTGCTTTTGGTATAAATAGCTGTGACTAACTGAAATTTCGCATTCTTGTACTTATCCTGATGAGAGAAGGATACAAAACTTCAACCGTATTCAGCACACAGCCATGCCATCTTCCAAGTGTGGATTCTTTGTTGACATATCACAACCTCTCTACCTAAACCTCTTTTAGACCAACAGTGAACATACACTTTAAGAGCAAAAACTGACTTTCCACTGGTCACTAGCCTAAACATTTCCAGAATGCTCTATTCAAATGCTAAAGGGGTGGTGGGAGCAGATACCAATCATAACTTTCAAAAGTGAACAGGATTAATATTTAAAAAAGGAATGTGGGTTTTTGGGACTAAATGGATGTCTCATGCAGTGAGCCAGTACAGGCACAGTGGACTGAATTGTCTCCTTCTGTGCTGTAAGATTCTGTGATTCAATGGTTTCAACTACATCATCTTAATAGAAATCCAATAGGTTGCTTTATATACAAACTTGGATGAGTCAGTAACAAAAGATAAAAGTGTCATATTCCTGACCAAGTAGGAGAGTCTTGTCCTGAAATAACTAGACTCAGTCCTCGTAGACGCTTCAAACAAAGTTATTAACTTTAAAAGGCGAACATTTTCTGCAACCATAAATTATAGTTAACTGACAATGAACAAGCCTGAATGATGGGAACTTCCCTGTTCTTGCTGCAGTGAATGTGGCAGGTGCTTGTGTTCCAAAAATACTGAATTGACAGGCCAAAACTGGTATCATAAGCCGAGGGGTTTTCTTTGGCCTCTTTCCCCTCTCTGTCACCCACCTACCCCCCATGCCCTTCTCATCTCCATTCCTACTGATCTCTGCAGGGATAGTGTTCCAGAAACTTCTTCAACTGGGTTGGATAATCTGTCATGACCCCACACGCTCCCAATTCAAAGGCTCTCTTGAAGTCTTCCTCGTCGTTTAAGACCCATATGTAAATCTACAGGAGACAAGAACAGGGAAGCTGATTACAGGTGGGGAGCAGGTCAAGGCTGTCAAACTAATCACCTTCTCAATACTGGTTTCGCCTCCCCATCAATAATATAAACACAGTCAGAAGACTGGAAAACAACAGAAAGATTGGAAGTTCTATCAAATAGACAGACCAGTAAACCTTGGAAAAGACACTATTTTCCCAAACTGGAATTCTGTATTTAGATGGCTTACCTGAACCATCTTCCACTTCATCTGAAGGTCAAAGATGGACCGTGTCTGCAGCGACATCATACATAAAGCTCTGGATGGGCAGGGTATGGAAAATGTTCCAAATGCTGCTCTCATCCTGATGGTCACCTTTATGTGCAGCTGTATCAAGCTGTGTGTAGACCATCAGTATGCAAACACCAAGTGTCATTATGTACTGTGTACATGTCCATGGAGTTATGAAGAACGGGTCTGGCCTTGGTGCCGCGGAAAGCTCCAAATGGGTGGACCATTCCGTTTCACCAGTCCCTTCTGGAAAAATTCAACAAAACGCCTTTGGCCACGAGTCCATCAGGAAGTGGTCAGCACGTAGCGTCCTTGAGACCTTGTGGGAAAAGAAGAGGGTTGGTCCTATTGGGTGGTTCCCTGAACAGACTGTCAAAGTAATTTGGCAGAATGCTTCATCACCAGAACTTTCCACCAAGCACGGAGACATAGCTTGGTTGGTGGTGAGATGGGCACTGCCCGTCACCTCTGGAACATGCCTTTGCAAAGGAAGCCTGGAGAAAGATACAGCAAGTTTTGCCGAGGCTTGTCCCGGGCAGCTCCGTGATGCAGGACTCTGCTATATGGTCCACTCCCTGGGACATACAACAGGACAAACATTGATTGTGCCTGGAGGACCAACAACTTGGCGAAAGATCCTCTCTGGTCTGCCCAAAATTTGTTGGTCTTCCACAGCATGGAGTTGGCCTTGACCGAGTGTTACAGATTGGCACATTCCAAGGTAAAGGACTACATGCTGAGTGACGTACTAAAGCTTGGGGCAGCTGCTGCCAAGGCGCAGTGGGGAAAGACCACTAAGGTCTTTCTGTCAAAATACAGTGAGGATCCATTTAATTATCAGACCCTCTCATGCCTCAATGTATGTAAATAGTGTCCTGCATAAGTAAGAAATGTTTTGGGTTTGTTTTGCAACTGCAGGGAATATCAGATCCAAGGTTCATTTTTCTGGATATGCAAAGACTGTATAGAACTGCTTTAGGACCTGTGTATGTACATAAAGATTTTTTATGATAAGATATATTTTCGCAATAAACAAAACCCAGAGTTCTGTAATTAAGGTATCCAGGACCAGCTCCTACCAGCACCATTTTTGTTTCCTCCATAAAGCTGGGAATGTTCCATAGATATGTAATAAAAATCTTCACTGTCATAATAAGGGGAGGCCGTGGCCACTTGTACATGGACTGGTAACCAGGAAACACGGAGTTCAGAGAATTTGGAAAAGAGCTGTTGCGATCAGGAATGCTTTTGAAAGGAGATGGATGCAGATCCAATAGTAGAAGGTTGCAGGGTTATGAGGAAAGAGCAGAGGTGTATGACTGATTGGAGAGCACTTCAGGCTTGATGGGCTGAATAGCCTCCCCTCTGTGTATAATTCACAGAAGTCACCATTCAGGGTTTGTACACAAGAATCAGGAGATTGCAAAGTAATCCTGGGCTGACCCAGTGGTGGTTTGGGACTGGTGAGTGAGACTTCCATTGTCAAAAGAAGACTGCTTTCATAAGCTATCGTAAATAGCATGTCTTAAAGCCAATGCACTATTAATGCTGCAACTAGTGCTGATAAACACGGCAGACATTTTGAGCATTGAAAGAGTTCAAATAAATTAGACAACTGATGTTATTCCCTTTTGATGGCAGCGACTGAACAAGTCCTTTCATCTTCTAGCATTGGGATCCAGATGAAATAGGTAGACAGGAGTCTCCATTTGATGTTCTAATCAGAAAGATGGCCCTTTCAATAGTGCAGTCCCGACTGGGACATTGGGCTGGACTTGAAACTCAAATCAACTCTGATACATAATAAAAGCAAAACACTGCCAACCTTGGAAATCTGAAATCAAAGCAGAAAGTGCTGTCAAAAGTCAGCAGGTCTGGCAGTGTCTGTGCAGAGAGAGAGAAATAGAGTTAATATTGAGTCCTGTTCCAAAGTAGAGTTGAAATATTAACTCCGTTTTTCTCTCTCTCTTCCTAGATGCTGCCAGACTTGCTGAGTTTCTCCAGCAATTTCTGCTTTGATTTCAACCCTTTGAGGAAGTGCTTCCAGATTTTGATTAAAGTAAAACAAGACAAAGAACTTAGTCTCCTTCTGCAGAGCTCTTAGATGTTGAAGTCACACAGGCATCACAGAATAAAAGTGCATGTTTCACCTGAATTCCTCGTGCTTTCAGATGCTCGAACAGAGATTTCCTCATTAGCAAACTGAGTGGAAATGAGAAATACCACAATTAACTTTGGGAGTCATATCCTCAGTAGAGCTGAATTTACTCTTACGCAGCGGTTCAAGGGTTTTCGCAAAGACCAGAGAACTGAGCAGTGTGACAAACAGCTTCACTTTACCCCGGCTGAATTAAAAGAGCTACCTCAATACCTTCCAACCATGGCACAGGCCCAAGTAATACCCAGCTCAGTCAGGGTGCCATGTCCTTCTAACTCCATTAACTATCAACATGCATTTCTGCAGAGCCCAAGAGCTCGCTGCATGAGTGCAAGACGGAGGCAACCCCCATTCCCCCAAAATCTGAGTTCCCCCAATCTCAGCCTGTCATCACAGGGAAATTGAGAAGTTAGTTTCCCCATAAAGAGGGACATGGAGAGTACAGCAGCGAGAGAGAGAGAGATGAAGAGAGAGATACAGATGGGAACAAAGGAAATAAGTAAGAGAAGAGAGCACTCGGCCCATTGAGCCTACTCTGTCATTCAGCAAGATCATGGCTAATCATCTCGCTCTTTCCACCCCCCCATCCCCATAACTCTTGGTGTCATTTGTATCCAGTAAGAGAGAGAGACAGGCAGAGAGAGCAGGGGAAGGGGAGGAGGATGGGAAAGACAAATATAGAGGAACAAGCAACTCAGTGTCAGTTCCATTGCAAGAACTCACGTGTCAGCGAGCCAAATCATAAACCGGTACATCCTGGAGATCTTCTTTGAATCTTTTAACCTAGGTGTGAAACAAAAATACATTATTTTGGTGGGAGAAGGAAATGTAGCATCAATTTCCTGTTAATGCCTCGCCAGTGTCAGCTGTAACAGGGACTCATGACATGTCCAATACTGTGAAAACATCGAGTGGCAGCATTATAGACCTTTCTAAATGAGGCCCGTCTCTGGAGAGCGCAGCTAAAATGTACAACACTTGGCGCAGAGTGGAGTCTGTCACGTACGGTGGGGTGTGGTGGTTGCACGAACTGAAGATCAAAGCATTAAACTTCAGGAAAAAGACTGTGACCTTTAAACTTCTGAAAGTTAAAATTTAGGCTGTGTAATGTTGGCCATTTGGGTGTGAAATCAGACAGCAGTGTTTCACACAGAAGGTACAATTGGAAACACATGACCCAGAAGGCTGTGGAAACTGGCGGGTCAAGTGAAATTCGCCAAGACCGAGATTGATAGACTTTGTGAGGAGAGTGAATGCAGGCAGGATGACTGCTTTGCAAAGTACCTCCGCTCTGTTCACAAGAATGACCCTGACCTTTCAGATGCTTGCCGTTTTACTACACTGTCTTGGTCCCACACTCTGATTTCTGTTGTTGGTCTGCTTGTTTTCCAGTCAAGCCTAGAGTCACTTGGAGGAGCAGCACCTCACTTTATTTAGGCACTTTGTAGTCTTCTAGGCTCAACAACTTCAGAACATGAACTCTATCAACTTTATCCTCCATTTTGTATCCCCTGCTGCCTCTCCCTCTGCACCACCCCCACTTCTCTGTTCATTGGCTGATTTCAGTTTTGCTTTCAGTAGAGCTGACTCATGTTCTGCAATTAACACCTACTGTGGATCTAAATCTCTTCTCTACATTCGTTACCACACCCTTGCCTTTGGTTTTCTGACATCAGTGAACTCTAATATCACTTTCTTTTCTGTTCTATTTGCTCTTTCCCACCTTTACTACAAAAAAAACCCATCACTTTTCCACCTATTTTCCAATTGCAAAGATTCATCAACTCTTGAAACAATAACTCGATTTTTCTTTCCACAGATCTGCCAGACATGTTGAGTCTTTCCAGCACTTCCTGCTTTTATTTCAGATCTCCAGCATTTTGCTTTTGTTACTAGAGTTTTGCTTGGTCATAGAACCAAGGGAGATGAAACAATGGCAGGTAAAATCAACTGGCAGAATAGGCTTGAGGGGCTGAATGGCATACTCCCCCTCCTGTGTTCCTTTACTGATTTTCCTAAATCCTGCTTTATTGACATACCTGTTACAAAACTGATGTTGCTGGAGATAGGCTAAAGGAGAAATAGAGTCAGTGGGTTTGGTGAAGGGTCATTAACAACTTCAAAAAATACTGCTGACAAGGTGGAAATATTCAGGCAGGATTGCACTCCATGGCACTGTCCCTCATGCCTGTTGTAGATGGCGTGTGGAGTCACAACATGATCAGACAATGACCCCAATTCCTAGTGGCTGAACAGGTGGCTGATCCACGCCAAAGCTTAGCATGGTATGGAGAGCACCAATGCTTGCGAACCCATAGCGCAACTGTGTGTGTGTTTGGGAGGTGGGGGTTAATGACACCTAACAGGGAGAAGAGCAAACAGAAGGCATGACAAGAATTAGCCACGCCACCTATGTAAAGGAATCAACTCGCCATACTTAACACTACTAATTCATCCAAATGATCTGCCAATGACAATGCCAATCTGCTCCACACTGCTGATTTACCCTTACAATGCCAATCCACCCAACAGGGTGTTATTACGGCAACAGCAATCTACTCAATGGCCATGCAGATGGCAACAAAATCCAATCCCGACACCAGCTCTCCTGGCATAGGCGTACTGCCCTGTGGCTGAGTGCAGACTTGTCTCATTCTAAGAGTTCACTTACTTCAGCATAATGGAGGGCATGGGGATCTCCAGGAACTGCTCCCGAATCGGGAAGAAAGGCAGGAGCCCCGTGTAAAACAACCCTAGAAGTAGAAGCACTTGCTGCAGACTGAACAAGATTGGAATATTCGGATTCTGTCAAGGAAGCAAAGAGCAAAGCACTTCAGACAAGGATCGACAAGTTACGAAGCTTGTATGTAAAGAGCACAGCCAGTCATTGCCTGTCTGAACATACCAATTAGGAGAAGACAGACATTCTGTCCTTCAATCCTGCTTTGCCATTCAATAAAATGATAACTGATCAGTTTGTGTTTCAAATTCCACATTCCCAGCTACTCCTGATAACTCGATTCTCTTCTACCCAGCAACAGTCTATCTACATCTGCCTTAAAATTATTCAGTGACAGAAATTCGACCAAGGCTCCTTAGACAGCATCTTCCATCTCGACGATCAAAACCAGCAGATACATGGGAACATCGCTATCTGAACCATCCTCTCCAAGCCATTCACCATCCTGACTCAGAAATATATCGCCGTTCCTTCACTGTCGCTGGGTCAAAGTCCTGGAATTCCCTCCCTAAGGGTATTGTGGGTCAACCTACAGCATGTGGACTGCAGCACTTAAAAACAGCATCTCATTATCATCCATTTTAAGCGCAACGAAGGATACACAATAAATGTTGGCCCTGCCAGTGACACTCATATTCCATGGAAAAATATAAAAGAAAAGACCCCAACCACACTTGGCCATGCAGCCACTGTTGTATAAACAAAACAGACAGTTTGCACAGAAACATCAATGATCTGAAAGATCAGTTAATTGGTACTCCTTAGCATCGAAGGGTAGATACATTGGCCAAACACCAGGAGAACTTCCTGTTCTTCCAATAGCAATGTGAATCTTTACTATCTATTGGTAGCCCTGGTTTAGAGGAGCTAAACTTTAACACTTTCACGACTCTGCCGGTAAAGAGGTTTCTTCCGAATTCCCTATTGGATCTCTTGGCGTATCTCCTTTTTTTTCTTTAATTATTCACGGAGGGCATCGCTGGCTAGGCAGCATTTATAGCCCATCCCTAATTGCTCAGAAGGCAGTTAAGAGTCAATCACATTGTTGTGGGTCTGGAGTCACATGTAGGCCAGACCAGGTAAGGATGGCAGTTTCCTTCCCTAAGGACATTAGTGAACCAGATGGGTTTTTCTAACAATCAACATTGGATTCACAGTTATCGTTAGACTCTTAATTCCAGATATTTATTGAATTCAAATTCCACCATCTGCCATGGGGGGATTCAAACCTGGGTCCCTAGAACGTTACCTGGATCTCTGGATTAACAGTCCAGCGATAATACCACTAGGCCATCACCCTCCTTATTGCAGCAAGACTTACCACCTTGTAACATTTCTTCACAATATCGTTACTGGTGTTGCCCCAGACAGTGATGTCCTGTCGATTAAACTCCTTCACCAAATCTGATACCTGCCAGACAACAGACACACCAAACCCCGTGAAGTTAGGATATTCAGAAAACCCAGAGACATTAACCAGTTTCATTATACAGCTTTCCACTTTGTAACATCAAGACTTTGTTAAACAAAATGAAGTCACACTTTGTGACTCCAACGACATCTCAATATTACCATGACCTTACACCTCCCTGTCATCACCTTCAGAATCTCAACTGCATTGTGCTCTAATTCAGGCACCTTGTCACCATCCAGTTTGATGGAGCCACCATTGGTACTTGTTCCTATCGCTGGGTTTTTGTCTTTATTCTTTCATGAGATGTGGAAACAAGACAAACATTTGTTGCCCACCCCTCATTAACCTTGAATAGAGTGGCTTGCTCAGCCATTTCAGAGGACACTTAAGAAATGTCCACATTCATGTGGATCTGGAATCACATGTAGGCCAGACCAGGTAAGGACAGATTTTTTTTTCCCCTAAAGGATGAGTGAACATCAGTTGATTGTCTAACAATGCTCGACCCTAATTTTACGGTAACCATTCCTAGTTTTATTTTAATTTTACCAGCTGTCGTGGTGAGATTTGAACCCACGACCCTTAAGCATTAGCCTGGGCCTTTGGTTCACTAGTTCAGTGACATAAACATGACACCAAGGTCCACCCCACCCCACCCCCCAACCCTGCACGCTGTGGGATGCTGTAAATTGTTAATTAAAAAGAGAAAGTTTCTGGGCCAAAGTTTGGGCTGTGAGAGTGTATCAAACAGTGGGCTGAATTCACTGAATCAGTGCTAGAAACCTCAGGAGGTCAGACAGCATCTGTGAAGAGGAATGAAAGAGAGTTAATGCTCCAGAATAGGATGATCACATCAGGAGCAATCCTGATACTAGTCATCAAACTTAAAATGTGAGCCTTGTTGTTGTCCCTCCAGAGGCTGCTTGCATTGCTGAGTGTTTGTCAATATTTCTTCATTTTACATCTTAATAAGAAGTTTATTTTTTTCCCTTTTCGCTACCTTTTCAATGAGAGCATCACTGTTGACCTTGATGTCAATGTTGATGGGAATCTTTGGAAAGGCTTCAAATACATCCCGCAGGAGAGGGATCTTTCTTTCTTCTCCACCCACACAGAAGCTATCTAAAATAAAAGGACCGACAATCAGCCACAGGATGAATGGTAGCACTGGACTAGTTGCACAAAGTCATACTGCACCACAGTGCACACAGGCTAAACAGTTACCAAGGGATGCCATTTGATGGGAAGGGGATAGGATTGACTCTTCTGCTTGTGACATTCAGACTTCTGTGCATCAGTGCCTTCTGACAGAGGCACAGCACCTTGAAGCCAATCCCCACTTCTCTCCCACAAGTACACATTCCTACTTCCTTCAATGTCAGTCCTACACTGGTCTCTTGTACATCACACCACCCCTATATCCTTCGCTCCTCCTTTACTGGCCTTGTCTTCAACTTCATGGGTCCCAAACTCTGGAAGTACCCCAAACTGCTCTTCCATACCATTAAAGTCACTCCCTTAAACTCACCATTTTGAGCAAGCCTTTCATTCTAATATGTGAACATGTAAATCGGGAGTGGGGCAGGCCATTCAGTTTCTCGAGCCTGCCCATCATTCAAAAAGATCACAACTGGTCTGATTACTCAACATTCCTGCCTATCTCTCTATAATTAGGGGAATCACTCTTACACTCCACAGGAAATTCAGGAGAAATTGCTTTATCCAGGAAATGGAGAGTGGGGATCTTGCTACCACAGGCAGAAGTTAATATGAATAATATCTGGGGAGGGGAAGGAGGAGAATTGGATAGGAACACAAACAGAAAAGAACCAAGTGAGTTAAAGTTGTTTCAGAGATAGTAGGAACTGCAGATACTGGAGAATCTGAGATAACAAGGTGTAGAGCTGGATGCTAGACCCAAAACGTCAGCTTTCCTGCTCCTCTGATGCTGCTTGGCCTGCTGTGTTCATCCAGCTCTACACCTTGTTATCTAAGAACCAAGGGATATGCTGACAGATGGGTTGGAAGACGTAGTCAAGGAAAATCTATTCCCAGTGGCTGATGGTACAAGGACTGGGGTGGGGACCTCAGAACTTTAGTTGGGCATCAGTAATTTCAAAAGGAAACTGGGTGGAGACTGGGGCCCTGTATCAGTTCAGTAATCATGATATATCCAAAATCTGCCTACTGCTGTCCCACTGTGGGCTCCATCCCACTACTTATACATGTTCAGCAGAAAAATAACTTAATATACAGAGGACTTTCTGAAGCAGAGAGGACTGTGGCTACTTTAGTCACCATTACTGGCTAATTATGAGAAGAAACCAATGGTGCAGTGGGATGGTTTAAATTGAAGTTCACATGCTGAAATCTATCAGAATACAATTCAACTAGAGACAATAACCTTATCCACAGGTCACAAAGTTGATGCTGTACATCATAAAGTACATGCTCTCTCTTATGTCACTTTTATACCCCCTAAGTGCTCACTTCTAAAGATCAGCTAATATTACTGCATAAAACATCACAGCAGAGATTCTTGGCCAGAATGGTTTCAGCATTTGGTGAGATGGTACAAGCCACCCACGTGTTTGGGGGCGGGGTGGAGGGCTGGAGGGTGACTGCTTTCCAGGGACACTGCAGCCTTAGGCTGCTTCACTAGCTAACGCGATTTGCAGATCTTCTCACCTTTCTTGAAAGAGACATGCAGCCTGCAATGGTAAGGCGGGAGCTCCTGAAAGAGGTTGGCAGTGGGCAGGAAAAGGAGATGGGGGGGTGGGAAAGGAAAAAAAAACAGATTACATATGTACATCAATTATCTGAGCCTTGATGTGGAACAGTCACTTGATACACCTCACCACTTTCTCGTTCCAAAAATAGAAGTCAACAGTCACAGAACAGTCACGCAAGAGACAAGTTCAATGTACAAACACACTCAATGCAGCAACAGTTAATTCTTTTGAGGAAGGGCTGAGAATGGACAGAAGGTCCTGGGGAAACCCTGGAACAAGAGGCAATCATTCCTCCTACTGCACATCTGGTCTGCATCATATAACCACAGTTGTCACTATATTTTTAAGCTTTTCGCATAACCTCAGTTGACTTCAATTAAGATCGTAAATTAGGTCGATTGCTTCAGGCATTGGTAGCTCACCAATCCATCTGACCTTGTCCTTCACATATTTAGCGTCCTCTTGGGTTGCAAACCCTCTCAGATTGACCCGGGGTCTCCCAAATGATTCAGGAAGCAAAATACACCCTAGGGTACAATCTAGTTTTGGTTCATCTAACAATAAAACCACTCCATAAATACAGCAGTTTGTGGAGTATAAAGGATTCTGGGGATTGTGACTGCCATTTAGTACCAATTCCCACAGGAGAGGACAGATCAGGCAGATGATAACAGGAGTGGGGTTGTAAGTCATGTGATTGAGCCTTCTGAAATTAATCTAATCAGGATTGGGAATACTGCTGCTTCACTATGAGATTGTTCTTCATGAGCTGTTGAACACTTTTGAGTTATTCCATGGTTGTGCAAGTTGCTACAGAAATGCAAAGTCTTTCTTTTCTGCAAAGATAGAGGGAGCCTCATCTGCAGTCTCCTGACAGCAACCCTCCACGTTCGAGACCCCGATCAGAGTCAGCTCTAGGTTTGGAGCTGAACTCCTGAAGTGGGGCTTGGACCTTCAGATATAAGGGACAGGTCTGCTACTAACATGCTACAAGACTTGGTGGTGATAGCAGTCAGGAATGACTGGGGTATTATTCAACTCAAATTGTCATTCCAAGAATTTCAACTGTCATTTCAGACTGTTGTCAGGAATGAATGTGACAGGACAGACCCCGAGTCTGTCTCCTTGCCGCAACCCTCCCATCTTGGCACTTACCCAGCTGACAATCTTCTTCTCTGTGCCTATCCTAAACTTGCCTGTTGCAGCTTTGAACTCATTGCCATTCTGTGGCAGCGATTTTTTCCAAATGTTGAATTCTTAACCCAAGCCTTTACGCAAGGATGTATGGTTTGATGATTAAACATTGCACAATAGGACATTCAACCGGACAGTCTGAGCAGCAGCTGGGTGGCCGGGTTTTAAAAGTTGCAGGTTTAAAGATGCTGTTAGAGGCTGCCCTATTCCAATCATTATTCATCTTGCATTAGGTTGGGTCATAAGAAGGGAAAAAAACACTTGCATTGCTATAGTGCCGACCACAACATTCCAAAAACATTTCACAGCTAATTAAATATCTTGGACATAAAGTCACATCACAATATATGTCAGGTCATTTTTTGAGGTGTGAATTCTATCTGGGGAGACTTGGCATTTTGCTTGTTTTTTTTTTAATTGTGCAAGGGTTTCACAGCTCTGGACAAACAGTAGACACCCTGTATCAGCTTAGTAATCATGATGGGGTCAGAGAACGAAGGGGTCCAAGTCACTCCAGAACATGAGCAAGTAATACAGGCCAATGTGTACAACATATACACTGCGCTGTCAGGGGGTCAGCACTGAGGGAGCGCCTCAAGGGTGTGCTGCACTGTCAGAGGGTCAGTACTAAGGGAGTGCTGCACTGTCAGAGGTTCAGTACTGAGGGAGTGCCGCACTGTCAGAAGGTCAGTACTGAGGGAGCACTGCACTGACATAGGGTCAGTACTGAGGGAGCACTGCACTGCCAGCAACGTGTTGTCAGAAAGACAGCGCTGAGGGAGGAGCAGCAGAGCAAGGGGCAGTATCATTGCAACAATATATAATGCTGCCTATGCCTTTTGCTCATGGGATCTGAGAGATGCCTTGTTACTGTTCAGCTAAGAGCTAAATGTGCTATCCTATATTTCTGCCTCAACCAATGCAGGTCTGCCCTTTTGTATTGTTCCTGCAATCTTGCTGTGCGCAATATGGCTTATCACATTTAATGAAGGACAATTCACCGTGCACGAGAAAGATGCTGGCAAGTTAAATGAATTTCTATGCCAGGTAGTGCAAAGTGACAAAATCTATTTAAGGAAAATACAAGAGCTGCTTAAGATAGCTTTCATAAATTTGCCACTTACTGAGAACATGAGGTCAGCTATGTCCACATCAATCCCTGTGGTTCTTTTCAAATTGTCATCATGTGACACAACCACTTGGCCATCTTTGGTAATGTGACAATCAAGCTCCAGCATCTCTGTTCCCAACTGCACGGCACTGGAAGAGTTAAACAGCAAACAACACTCCCTTTACAAATAGCAAGAAAGCTGGTCAAGAAAGCTGGTCCAATTGTAAATTTCTATTTTAATCAATGATAAGATGCAAGAGTTGTTAAAAAAAAAATGGCAGCACTGTCACCCCCAATGCTAACTTCCTGGACAGCTTTAGTCAGTTGTTCTAAACTTGATAAATAACATTGATACTGTTAAACGTCAAATCGTCTGCATTGTCCTGTCCTTGCTTCTGTCTCAAGAATTTATCCCATTTTCCCTTGAAATGCTGCTCTTACCTGCACCGAAAGCATTTCAACAATGCTCAAATTTCTCCTGCTCTCATTCTATTCTCATATGGCAATGCTTGATTTTTAAAATTAATCATTTCTTGTACCAGTTTCCCCAAATATAAATATGTCTTACAGTCATAAGGAAAACAGGCTGAGGCCATTTGGCCCACCAAATTCATGCTCACAGTCCGTCAAAACTCTTCACAACTTTAAAAAAATTCTACTAAATCTCGTCAGTTTCCTCTGTTCCCAGAAAAGTGGGTTTCTTCACCCAACGTGGAGAGGACTGGAGCATAAAATTAGAGAGATCTTGCTTTAATTTTATAGGGCTTGGATCCGATAATATCCAAAGTAGTGTGTGCAATTTTGGTCTTTATATCTGAAGAATGGTACATTTGCAAGAAAGAGGCTGTGACAAAGGTTCACTAAACACAACTCTGGAATGCAAGGGCTATCTTCATAGGAATAATTGAGTAGAGTGGGCCTACAATCTTTGGAGTTAGAAGAAAGAGAGAGGTGATTTCCTTTATTCGAGAGAATCAGGTAAAAAGATCAGGTCAGCATCCTAGAAATGTCACAAACAGATCCCAATTCCAGTCACAATTCATCAACCACTAACTGTTCAGAGATTCTCATCCCACCTAGATTTTTATATTAAATTGACATTTTCAGAGATGTTATTACACACCTTTGGAGCAGGTGGAATTTGAACCTTGACCTCCTACCACTGCACAATGAGAGTCCCCACACCTAATTTTCCATTACTTTATTGCACGGTTTGCAAATAACCTCAATAACTGGATCATATGCTAAACTGGGTAGTAATGGGCTTACGTGACTAGGCATCAACTTTTGTCCAATCATGCTCTTGTGAAATGCATTGGGATGTTAAAGGTGCTATATAAATGCAAGTCATTACAGTAACCTAACATGCAGGGGCAAAAACACCACTAACATCTTAGAATTGTTATCTGAAGTAACAATTCACGTTACAGCTTTTAAACATAATCACTCTGTGTTGCTAATTGGTTATGTGGTTTCAATTTGATCCACTTTCCCTCTAAAATCCAGTCAGAGTCTTGAACCTGCTTTCCATTGACATTGCCTCATCAGGGCACCTTTGGAGGTAAAAAGCCCCCAGTCAAAATGTTTCCTCAATACCATCCATGGCTCAGTGAGTAGCAGTTTTTTCAGAAAATGCTAATGGCTCAAGTTCCACTCAACAGCCTTGAGCACAAACAGAAAGGCCACCTATCTCCATGTGGTACAGTGGGAGTGCTGCGTCATCAGAACCAATATCTTTTGGACAAGGGTTTAAACTGAAGCCCCATCTGTACTCATGGGCACTTTTGCCAAAAAGAAGCAGAGGAATATTGTCCAGTGTCTGGACTAATATTTTCATCTCAATAAACTAATGATCTGGTCATCTTACTGCATTACCATTGTGTGGAATTTTTCTGTTCATAACGTTGCCAACCTCCCTGCTGTCTCATTACTGCTGGGAGATCATGGCAAAGAAAGAGAAGGGCTGACAAAATTAGTATTAAAATGGCCTGTAAATAAATCACAGAGTCCCTCAGCACAGACTGAGGCCATTCAACCCATTATGCCTATGCTAGTTCTTTGAAAGAGCTATCCAATTAGTCCTAGGCCCTCTGCCCACAATTCTGGAAATGTTTGTTTTCCAACATTTTTCCAATTTTCTTTTCAGGCAGTATATTCCAGATCTTTACATCTCGGCGTAGATTAAATTTAATTTTCCATCAGGGTCTTCTGCCAATTATCTCAAACTTTTATCAGTGGAAACAGTTTGTTTCTGCCTCCTCAATCAATGTCCTTTATGGTTTTGAACTTGGTAATTTGGGGGTTGGGACAATCCCAACTTCTCCCATCTCTTCAGACAAAGTCTTTCATCTCCAGTATCATTCTATTAAGTCTCCTCTGTATGCTGTCCACGGGAAGCCTTGTGCTGCAGTGGGTAGCATCCCTTCCTTCAGCTCAGAAGCTTTGGTTTCAAGTTCCTGTCCAGGGTCTGATGACCATGGAAGGTGCATTCACATCTTGGCCACAAAGAGGTTCAGTAAAGTCACTATAGATATCGTACAACTGCTATTTCGGTAGAGCAGTTGTAACCTGAGGGTCACCACACCTCAGGCAAGGGGAGAGGTTGAGAAGGAGAGTCTTTCAATGTAACCTCAGCTGGTGTGAGTAACGACCTGAAAATCCTTCCAAAATACACCAATGGAGGGTGGTAGAAACCACATGATGGAAAGTAATTATAGCCTCTGTCATCACTAGCCATAGTGCCAGGTTATCATGTGCATTTACAAATGTATGCTGCCACAGCAACTCAGAAACCTCACTTGGCAGCAGTCTGGCAGTCTGCAGATAGGTGGATGACTTGTGCCAATGTTTGTCCTGGCTAGGCTAGATTCAGGAAAAGCCTCTTTGCCCTAATGGAGGTCATAGCACTGTCAGTCACAGAGCTGTACAGCATGGAAAGAGACCCTTCAGTCCAACTCGTCCCTGCCAACCAGGTAGCCTAAATTAATCTAATCCCATTTGCCAGCATTTGGCCCATATCCCTCTAAACTATTCCTATTCATATACCCACCAAGATGCCTTTTAAATGTTAACTGTACCCACCTCGATCACTTCCTCAGGCAGCTCATTCCATACACGCACCACCCTCTGTGTGCAAAAGTTGCCCATTAGGTCTCTTTTATACATTGCCCCTCTCACCTTAAACTATGCCCTCTAGCTGTATGTTCCCCAACCCCACGGAAAAGACCTTGGCTATGCACTCTATCCATGCCCCTCATGATTTTTATAAGCCTCTACAAAGGCCACCCCTCAGTCTCCAACACTCCAGGGAAAATAGCCTCAGCCCATTCAGCCTCTCCCTATAGCTCAAACCCACCAACCCTGGCAACATCCTTGTAAATCTCTGCTGAACCCTGTTGAGTTTCACAATATCCTTCCTGTAGCAGGGAGACTGGAACTGAATGGAGTATTCCAAAAGTGGCCTAACTAATGTCCTGTACAGCCACAACATCACCTCCCAACTGCTACACTCAATGCACTGACCAATTAAAGCAAGCATACCAAATGCCTTCTTCACTACCTTGTCTATCTGGGATTTCACTTTCAAGGAACTATGAACCTGCACTCCAAGATCTCTTTGCAGACCTGCCTTTGAACAGAGAACCCAAGGAGAAGACACCATTCAATTTTTTTGGCCTCTTCTGAAATACTCCAGCTGGGACTGGTTGTACAGGATTTGAATCCTGCTGGACAGGAGAGACATAGTGCTGAAGCTTTTCATTATACATTCATTAGGACAAAAGCAAGGATGCTGATTGGCTGAGGGGCTGCCATGAAGAAATAAATAGGCACTAATACACACCTAGCAATACAAAAAGAAAAATTCAAGTTTTGAAAATGAATGAGAGTTGACTCGCCAACCATCAGCAGCCTTTTCTTCTGCAGTAGGAATTGTTGAGATTGTATGAAGTTTGGTATTGCATTTGTCCTGACTGGGGAAAAATTAAGTAGAACCGTCTTGCTACATTTCGGCTCTTAGAAGGATGTGAAGGGTGAATTTAAGAAAAACAAGGAAATGAACATCCTGTTGTTCTTTGTTACATTAAACTTTAATCTGTTCCAATTGAGCATTAAGACTTAATGGAGTTTCTTCAATTCACTCCTTGTAGGAGGAACCAACCTGTGCTTCTCTCGTTTTAAGAAGGCAAAGCAATGATTATGACATTACGTTAATTATACAACCGATACCATCACAGCTATTTGTTCCTGTATTCCTGTCCAAATTCCTCCCCCGCCCTCTTTTCCTGAAGGCGATGACTCATTCTGCAGCACAGCTTCATATCCTTCCTATACCTCACAGGAGGCCTTTCGTCAACCATACAGCAGGTTGATGGCCCACAGCTTGATGCTGGGGGCAGTCACAATAAAAAGCTTTAGCAGCTCCTTTCCAGAAGTCAAACTTTGTGACCATTTCTTCCCCAAAAAGGTAGAGAGGCTGTGAAGAAAAGGTGCATTTTTAAATGTTGGCTTTTAACACCAGAGTACATTCACCCAAGTTTTATTTCTTTCAGATTAAAAAAGGTGCTAAAAATTTATTAATCACTAGCCTTGACTATATTCCAACATACTTTCTTGGTGGCCTCCCACATTCTATCCTCTGCAAACTTATGGTCATCCAAATACTGCTGTCCATGTCTAAGATCACATCAAGTGCCTTTCCCATTGCATCCCTACACTGATTCCTGGTTAAGCAACACCTTGACTAAAAAATTTTCATGCTTGTTTTTAAATCTTGCCATCACCTCACCCCTCCCTGTTGCCATAATCTCCTCCAGCCCACGATCCCAAAATCTCTGCAGTCCTCTTCATTCCAGTCTCTGGCACATTCTGGACTTTGATTGCCCCACTACTAGGCCCATGGCTTTGGATGTCTAGGCCCTCAAATTTGGAACTCCCTCCAGCAACCTTTCTGCTCTGCCCACCTGCACTAAAACTGCCCTTGATTACCTGTTGTAAACTCACCTCAAGTTTCTCAGGATCAAAGTTGATTTCATAGAGTCAGAGATCTAAGGACAGAAAAAAGGCCCTTTGGTCCACTGTGTCCATGCCCGTCAAAAACTGACTAACTATTCTAATCCCATTTCCTAGCACTTAGCTTTGAATGCCTTGA